GGTGTGTCGAACTGTCGCCTTTTTATAGCGTCAACATCGGACTCGATGACCAATTAGTGCTTACTGAACCGTAGCACTATGTAAATGTCATGTGGCGTGATTCCCGGCCGACCAATTAGCATCACCAGCCGTAATGTTATGCAAATCTGTGATTCCCAAGCCATAGTCTTATGCAAATCATGCCGCGTGGCGTAATTGTCTGTTAACCAATCAGTGGCTGTACTTTCAAAAAGCCAACGGCCACTTTCAACCATCTGTCGATGACCATTACGACTAAAAAAAACTTTGCTAGGTCTTACTTTCAGGGGGAGGTCTTATATTTCGCAATTGAGCAAAATCTGTGCTAGGTTTTATTTTCTGCGGATGTCTTATTTTCGGGGAAACACGGTATATACACAGACTTACATTTTTATTAGTTATGTTTTTTGTTTGTGGAGGTTAAATAATCTGTCTAATGTCGATGGCTTTTCTCTCTTTTTCAGGATTTACAGAATTAATAGAATTGTAATTGTAGACATCCCGAAGCTTATTAACCTAAGCCTGGTTTGTATGCCATTCTAAGACCGTTGATCTGACATCCCCTACTTATTCAAAAGATCTTTAATTAATAGCAGATATCGGCATTAACCCTCCTTTTCAAAATAAAACATATTTCGCTGAGTTTCTTGGTGTTCTTCTGTCGTCAGATCCGTTTCAGGTTCCGTTATGAGCTCTTCGATGTTCTTTATTTCACAGAAGTGATTTTTGTTACTCCTTTAGCTGCTTGAGTCTTCTTGACTATACAGTATCTTTCTTAGATAAGATTGAACTGTGCCCTACTGTAGATTTCTTCAAGCCATAGTGCACAGCAACATCAGACATCTGCCCACTCTCTACCTTTGCTATTATACTCTCACCTTTCGAAAATAAAAACTGACACAAAACTTAACGAGTGCCCGCCCGAAAGTCTCGCGAATACTATAAAAGAATTGTTTGTCAGAAAAATAAAAGGTTGGAATTACAAGGGAGTATTTCAAAGTTCGAGGGGTACAATCTAATCAGTATATATCGGGTTGAGCGTCGACGTTGACGTCTCCCGTGCTTCGAAAAGTTTTGAATTGTTGCCTGAAGACAAGAGAAAATCAATTGGTATTTGCTATTTTCGGCGCTTCTTTTTATGTTTGTTTAGTGAAGTGTTCGTTGTCCGATCATAAAAATCTTTCGCGAAAGTATTCGTTATCCGATCTGTTCGTAAACCGATCACCCACTGTATATATAAATTTTGTGTACGAATCCAGTTTTTTCGTATATGAAGCCGTTTTCGCTAAGATACCTTTTATCCTACGTCTAGCTGTATCTGGTTTTGCATCGATTCTTTTATTTGGATTATTGTCAGTGTCATGGGCACTGTCGTCATTCACATCGATTGTAAGTATTACGTAATAGTAATTAAGTGTTTCTGAAAATAGTTTTTAAATGTTTAAAAATTCATTAATTTTTTCAGGTATACGATAACTTCATTTCAATTGAAAAATTATATTCAGAACCACTCCCCTCAGAGTATAAATACAAAGTGTTGTATTATTCTGCTTTTAATTCTTCTGAATAATTATTATTATAAATATTCATTTCAGGTGATTGGATTCATGACGAAATTTGGAGGTAGACCTTTTGGACTATTCATTGGAGGATTCTTTTATGTGAAAAAGAACTTTATTTTCGGGTCAGCAGAATAGTTTTTAAAATATTCGTGATAAATAGATATCATTCATTAGCAACTATTAATATTATTATATTTGTTATTGTTATCTGTAATGAGCAGATGCTATGGCCGATATAATTACTTGAACTGTACTGAGATCCTAAACCGATTTGGTCGGAAAATACCAGGAATATTTACTTATTTACTTTGAAACCCGGATACGTCGGGATCCAAACTTTACTATTCGATCTATATACCAGGTATATACGTATAGTTTACACCACAGTAACAATTCTAAATATTTGAAATCAGAAATGCAGGGATATATCCTTAAGGTGTTTGGGAAATTTTATTGTTTCACGTTTTTCTTGTAAATGTATAATTTACAAATCACGTTTGTTGAGTGTAACGCATATAAAAGGCAATTCTGGTACATTATTTTACAGTATATTTTTATTTCAATAGATGTATCTTGAAATATTGGAAATAATTGGCCCCATTACATTCATTTCTATGAATATTGATTTTTTAATAATTTTTTTCTATAATAGTTCAAAATAAGTTGTTCGAGGTTGGATGTTTCGTGCATATTTTGCTTGCATTCAATTATCTATTATTTTATAATGGCTTATATTAAAGGAAAATTTGAGAAATGCTTTTAGGATAATTAATAAGTAAAGATAATTATTAACGATTACATCGATTTACTGTATAATAAAATATAAATCGCAATGCAACTAATCGCATTAAGTGCAATCGATCGCATTCTTCATTAAATTAACGATGCTTTTTGTTAACTCGGAACTATTATATAATCGAAAGATGAATTCGATGTTGAAAGAGAAATTTTGTTGGCATTTCGTCTTCATACTCTGAATTAGTAAAATGTACGCGGGATTAGAAGAGAAAATTTGCATCAGCTGTTTCCTAAGGCCTTGCTGGATGACGGCTCTCGTCTTCGGTGTAGAGCCTTATATCATTTGTAACTGTCAAAATATTTCGTCTAGAGTCAAAAAATACAAAAGTTTTTACGTTCGTTTTATCATATATTTGTTTTGGGAATATTCTTTGCTATTTGTTTGGCACGCCGTCCCTGGTTTGAGTGATGATGCCATTTGCATGGGATTTTACGATTTGTATAACAATGAAAATATAGTAAAGATCTATACTGCGATATTTACTTTAATTTATTTATCAGCTTTAATTTTCTTCAAAAATAACAAAGCAACTCTTAATATAGAATTGCGAGACGAATACTTTCGACGGAACATGGTAAACGGAAATGTTATAAAGTGGAATTTTTTCTACTCTTTCATAACAATCCTATTTATAATATCTTTTCAATTTTTTAATCTTATCGTTTATTATCCTGCTTTCGAAAAGAAGTAAAAATTCGAAGGAGAAGCTGTATTATGTAGTGTTCTGATTGGTCTGTACATGAATCTAGCCATAGGTGGAAGTGCTTACTTGTTACTGTTAGTTGCACTATTACTTTTACTTGCTAGAAAAAAATTAAATCAACTCATTTGTCAATTCTCTGTATTAAAAAGAAGCGAAAAGAATTTGACACGTGAACTCAATGAGCTGATGATGCATCAACATAAACTATGGAATTTTATTAATCAGTTCAATACCAAACTGAATTTCCCACTTGGTGTCATTTATTTCACTATTATTTGGATTGCGAGCTCCACTTATTATACCTATATATTTATAATAGTTAATAAATCTGTACGATTATTTTATTCAATGTTGGTAATATTATTCACGTCTTTTTGTTTAATAACTGCCATTATGTTATGTTCATTCGCATTCAATGTATGTAAATATATAATAAATTAATGTTAAAGCAATGCCATTGGCTGGAGAAGTAACATTTTCTAATTTATTTTTCAGTTGGTGAATGGCTTTCAAGATATCAGACAGTTTGCTATTTGCAAATTAAAACTGGAACAGAAGCTAAAGGTAAGCTTTTGCAATTTACTGTTTCAAACGGTTATTGTATTTAATAAATAATTAATTTTCATTTACGTAGATTTTGAATTTTATGAAAAGATTTGGAAGAGTTCCTTTGTGTCTTTCCATAGGAGGTATCTATATTATAAATAAAAGAATTCCTTTCAAGGTAATTATCAAAACAAATCAATTAAATGAAATCTTTTATTAGCGTATTTAGGAGTTAATCCTGTTACAAGGGGAACTCTAAATACTTTAAATTTCTGTCTGGAAAGACATTTCGCAGTTAAACTCAAGTTATATAGTGACTTTTCTGAGCACGTAGATTCCCGCAAAGAAAAATTTTCGTTGCAAAACTTACCACTAGGATATTTGTGGCGCTGTGAGCGACACAAATTTCCGAATGTGCCTTACCTCTCGAAGCCGACTTACAGCATTGGCATTATAAATCTTTGCATAAAAGGTGCATTCAGACAGTCATAATAGTTTGCAGTAATGCAATTTGTTTTTCACCAACCGTAGGCCAGTTTCATACCAAGAAATTGGCCATAGCACTGGTATATTAATTATATTCTAATCATTTTTCGCCGCTCTCAGCGCGACACATCCTTTAACTAGTTTCTGAAATTAAAATTTTTCAGGAAATCTTTTCGGCAAGTTCGTAAACGTCAGCATTTGTAAGAGTTTGAACTGCAAGTTATTCCTACATACGGTATTGAATAGGAATACTTACATTAAACGTCCGGTATATTCGTAACAATTAATTTATTATACAAAAATATTTAAGTTATTTTAACTTTTTAGATGGCGAAAACATTACATTCTGTGTTTTCTGGAATGATGAAATTACAAGCGATTTCGTTTTCGAAAAACTGTGATAATGTTGTTGCCAATTCCACTGAATTTATTTAATCGAGATGTTTAGAAATGTTTGTGTGGAAAATGGCGCTTATTTAGGTGTTTGATGCACGAGGAAAACCGAGAAAGAACCACGTGGTCAGCTCGTTTCTCAGGTGCAAATCCTCGACATTGTTCAGAGGTTTTTACCCGCATCTATTGGTAGGATGAAAACTGTTTATTTTTCGATGTACTAAATTTTATAATTCATTTCAATATTACTAAATTCAGGAACTATAAGTTATTTATCATCGGCGAATTTTATATAGATTTACGTAAAGGTTCTTCGATAGGTACTGGCCTTTTGAAATTACACAGGAGACATTTTCAAATCCCTTGGAGTAGCAAAAGCAAAAACTATATATGGTGATAACTACAGCATAGAAGACTTGTATGTCGTTCCCTTCCAAAAAATGCGATAACAAAGAACTTGTTAAACTTTTGCTATTCTGAAAATTTGTCACTTTTGACTGATCAGAGGCAACCGACCGAATTTGATAAAGATACTTACTCTTTGGTTGACTTTGGGTTAACCAATATTAGTGAGTCAGAATTTTTAATTTATCAGAACTTATTGTCCGATTATTCGCCTATAGTTTTCTTTCTCCCGTGGAAAAATACGGAAATAGGTGGTAATTCGTTAAAAACACGTGGGAAAATAAATAATACGTGAATACATTTTTTACGTAATGCACTGTCAGCTTGTTTTGCTTGGGATTGGTATTATTCTCCAAATCATTTTGTTGACCAATTTGTGGATTACTTTCAGGATATCCTGCAGATTTTTATTAATAAATATTATCCCATAATAACACTAAATAAGAAAATCTTTCGCTTTATGAAAGGCGTTTTTGGCAGAAATTATCTCAAGCAATACAACAAAGTTAATTAGCCAGAAGAGGAGGTTGTTTAAACAATTAAACAAGTGTATTTTAGAAGATCGACGTGCAAAAATATGAACGAAAGTAAGAAGACTAAGATATTAGGAATAAAATTAGGAAAGAAGAGGTAGATTACTATGAAAGACAATTCTCAAATATACGTTCCTTGATAGAGTTTTGGCAAAATATTAAGGTAAAAATACAATAATATCTAAACCTTTTCAAGTGAACATAAGTGCAACACGGGGATCCATTCTAAGCTCTTACGATTTATGTAAATATTAAACAGTAATTATTTTTAGAAATAGTTTCTCTAATATTATATTGTATGCAGATATTATTATTACTGTATAACTTATGCAGATTTGAATCTTGAATTAATTGAAAATAATCTAACCAACAAAAGAATTTTTATTAAGTAAATATATGGAAAATTATAATTTTAAAATAAATCAGNTATAATTTTTTATTGTTTTTATATTTTTCAATAAATTTATTTTATTTGTACAAAATAAAAAAATAATTTTTAACGATACAATAGTCTTCGTTAGGCTTAACATCGACGAAAATTCAATGCAAAGCGACACGCAACGGATAGAAATTTCAACATGAAATAAATTAATATTTTTTTTCATACATGATTCGTTATCCGAAAAATAAGTTATCCGAACCACCCCAGTCCGCAATTGATTCGGATAAACGACGTTCTACTGTACAGCATTTTTAAAATTTCAGAACAGGATTTACTTATTCTTTATATTTTTGAATTCCAGTTCTCAATTTCACAGGCAAATCTATGTACAGGTACAGTAATTTCCCCAAGTGTTCACGTAATTGAAAGGAAGTAGAAAAACCTTCAGAACACAAAGTCTCGCGACAGAATATAGACTTTTCCTCCACCAGGATTTGCTTATGTTTTAATCTTACATGCTTGTTAGTAAAATTTCCTTTTGAGGAGAGGTGCTTATCGCAATAACAACAAGTATTTTCTGATATATCCAACGCAATATTTTCCATAACGATTTCTTAGCAACGTAGCGGGAATACTTCAAAAACAATTATCGATGATAAAGTATGGTTTTAAAGCCAAAATATCGATAAAAAATTCCAAGCACACCATACAGTACGAGGTACACGCTACCTAAATGTCACAATACTAGCATTATCTCGTGGTAAAAACCAGAACTACGGCTACGGAATCGTTCTGTAATTATCCGCAAGTAACTTCTGGACGGCCCCTAACGGAAAGTCTCAGATATATAGACATTATCCATCTCTACGATAATTTAATTGTTAAATAAATTAATTAAAATACGTTCTAAAAATTGTATTTGTTTTGACTTGTCATAGGATAAAAGAAGCTCTCTTACGTTAAAAATAATTTAATTGATATTCTTGGATTTCGCTGTATTCTAAATGGGCAATAGCATTTTCTGGTAGAAAGTGCAGCTCAGTATTGTGAATATGTCACAACGCTGGGATGCAATTTTTAATTGTAATTTTAATCTATTTCATTTAAAATACAGTAGACCCCCTTATAACATGGCAGATACGTTCCGTGTTTTATGAAATACATATTGTACGAGTCCTTAAATACATGAGCCAATCACAGCCCGGCACGTATGCAGTTTACGGACTAAGGCTGTTTGAAATGTTTTCTTCCATAAAATTAATCGATTCTAGACTAATTTGACTCAACGTTTCCATAACACGTATAATTTTTTGGGAATAATCCGTATAAACTATGCTATAAACAAAAATTGTAAGATTACTTACCGAGTGTGCACCGTTCCACGACGCCATTGCTTAAGCTTGTTTTCGTCGCGGAACGCGCATCGAACGTCTACTGTATATGCTCTGCACCTAAAATTATTAGCAGTGTGTTGCATCTGTACGTCATACTTTTTCTCATAACATCAGACTCATGCTGATCATCTAGCTAACACCGTTGTGAAGAAAATTTTCGGTTGAAATCACATGAATTTCGGTCTAGACTGGAATTTATTATATAGTTAAGTAACTTCTGATTTGTAGAAACTTAAATTTATAATATATTAAATTTTTAAAGTCTACCCATCGTTACAGTCCATTAAAGACGTTCTTGTCATGTCTATATCAACGCAATTATATCCTTCACATTCTTGTATGGGAATGAATGTTCAACCACTTTTATCTACAGGAGAAGTCTTCGGATTGGATATCCCGTGACCATGCAAATTTCGAAAGCCGAAAGAATAACCATTCGCTAAGCTTTTCATAATTTATGTGCACTTTATCGAGTGTTTCTTGTGGTTTTCTGTCTTACTATTAATAATGAAGATAACAACTTCGAAAGCTTTTTGCTCGAAATCCTTTCATCTTTTCGGAAACGAAGCACTTTATGCCAAAATAGTCTTTTTAGGTCTTACTGTTTATGTCGATCTTCAGTTTAGTGTTTTGAAAAGAAGAAAAATATCTACCCATTATTTGAAGAGCCAATACGACGGCGAAGAAGATTTTGTCCACAGAAGTAAAAGATATATATTCATTTTCCTGGCATTCTTTCTATTTATTCTCGTATCACTTTTTACAATATTTTTATTTGTCACTTATTTTTCCATAGCCAGAGTTATAAACGATGATAAAATAATGTTAGTCTGCACAATAGTCATTCAGTGATGGTTATCTTATATGTCGTCATACGTATGCTACGTGTTGCTGTTCTTCGCATTCGGTTCGATAATAATAGCAAAACGATTTATGGAAATCTCCAAAGAATATGAAAATGTAAACCGAGCAATCACATCGTTCTTGCAAAATTTTATGGAGAAACTTTTAGAATTATGGGAATTTATTTAAGAACTAAACGATAAATAGAGTACAGTAAACCCCCTATAACACGGGTTCCTATAATTACGATTCCTATACGACGGTATCCGTACAAACCTGGTAAAAAACTCCTATAATTCGGTAAAACGTCATCAGGCAGCCGAACTACTTTCCGTCGTCCTGCGCCACGCTACGCAGAATTTAGGCGGGTAAATTGAGTTTACTATCGTCTGTACAGTATCATATATAAATTAGGTACTGTATATATAATTATATATTAACTTAATTTACTGTAACTTTATTATAATTATATATATACTTTCCGCTGTCCAGCGCCACGCTATGGAGAGTTTAGACGAGTAAGTTGTTTACTATCGTCTGTACAGTATGTAAATTAGGTACCGTAAGTCTAATAAAGTACTGTAATTTTATACATTTCTTGTGAAAGAAACATTTCTTATTCAACGGCCATAAAAATTATTTATATTAATGATGTCTCCAAAGTTCAACGAAGTTTTCGCAGAAAAATAACTTATCAGAAATCGCCTGCCGCTTGGTGCCCGCCGTTTGGTGCGCTGCTCTGCGACGAAAACAAGCTTGAGCAATGGCAACGTCGAACGGTGCACCCTCGGTAAGTAATCCTACAATTTTTTGTTTATAGCATAGTTTATACGGATTATTCCCAAACAATTATACATATTTTGGAAATGTTGAGTCGAATTAGTCTAGAATCGATTAATTTTATGGAAGAAAACCTTTCAAACAGCCGTAGTCCGTAAACTTCACACGTGTCGGGCTGTGATTGGCAAGGACTCGTACAAAATTGATTCATAAAGAACGGAACGTATCTACCGTGTTATAAGGGGGTCGATTGTATTCTTTCTTTTGTTATAGTGGGTGATCGGTTAAAGAACATAATCCGTTCCAAGACATTGTTCGCTATCCGAATTGTTCGTTAACCGATTATGAATTTACCATAGGTTTGTATGGGAATTTGATTAATTCGTTCTGGAGACATCAAGAAATAAAAAATATATATATACTTTCTTACTACGTTTGTTTATATGTAATAATAAAAATACATATATACACAGACTTGCATGTTTATTAGTTATGTGTTTTTNTTTTTGATACTAAATTAACTTCTGAAGTAAATTTTTTTGTTCATAAATTTTTTATATATTTATTTTGTTTGTACAAAATAAAAAAAATAATTTTTAACCATACAATAGTCTTCGTTAGGCTTAACATCGACGAAAATTCAAGGCAAAGCGACACGCAACGGAGAAATTTTCAACATGGGATAGGTTAATATATTTTTTTCGTACGTAATCGGTTATCCGAACAACCCCAGTCCCCAATTGATTCGAATAATCGACGTTCTACTGTATAAAGATTTGACTTATGGGCAATTTAAACAAGTTGTTAAAAATTTAAACTGTCTAGTTTTGTGTATTTTTTTTCTTTATGCCGTTTGTTTTGTTGATTGTTTACTTTTTATATTTGGTCTATTCCAAGTGTAAAAAAATACAACGGCCGTAGAGTCGTTTAGTTAAATAAATAAATAAATAAACGTTGGTGATTAAAAGGGGGTTGGATCTAGTAGGGTCGGACTTTAATGAAGATTTTACCTGTTATTAGCATTTACATTGTTATATAAAACCTACCCTTATCCTGGAAAGCATTTTGCCATTAGTGAAGTTTAATAATGTTCGTATTTCACAATTGGCGACCAAGTCGGTGCGCCAATAACATTAGTTCAATATGCTGATCTGGTCCGTGGAGAAGACACCTTACGACGAATCGACGAGTTGTTGGCTAGAAGTAACCTTCCGGCGGTTGAAGAACAAACAGCGAGACGAATCCAGACCGAGTCGAACTTTGATGCACACTTGAAGATCTACAACGTGCTTGTCGTCACTTCGAAGCTCTGCAGTGAACTTCCCGAAGTTTCCCTGTTCGACATTAACCTTTTTATAGCCGTCGACAGCGGGTTGGACGACCAATCAGCGATTACTTGGCTGTAGCTTTATGCAAATATGCAGTGTGGTGGGATTCTCGACCAATCAGCAATTAGCTGCTCTGTAAAAGTTCCGCTGGTAGTGCGATGATATTCCGACCAATCAGCAGCTACGCATTCAAAATCCAACGGTCGCTTCCTCAACCGTTACCAGTTCAAAAAAGGCGGGAATCGTTTTATACCATTTTATAATAGTAAAAATCGAAAATTTTTTAAAATAAAATATGACAACACAAGGCGCCACCAAAAATTTAAATGCGGCCGGGAAACTTAAGCAACTCGTTGCTAAATTTTATATATTTATTTATTTTATTGCAGAAAGAAATATCACAAGAGAATTGATATCTTTCCCGTTAATAACGCCGTAACAGAAGGTTAAAGTACAAATAACAAAGAATAAAAATCAACATACAAGATTAAAAAAATATACATAAATTAAAACAAAAGATTATGTATTATAATGCAACTGTTTACGAATTGTTTAAAATGTAGAAAATTTTCATGTAGAGATTGTTTCACCAGTAGCGTAGTGTGGGTGTCAGCAGCCCGGGGCAAAAGAAAATTTCGTTGTCCCCTTATTTAGGTATCTCAATTTAAAAGACTACATTTCAGTTTTGTCACAGAATAAGTAATGAAAAATTCCGTGCTAGTGTTGCCACCTTTTTAAAATCGCTGACCCGGACGGCAGGTGAGGTTTGTTCGAACAGAAGTTCCTGACGCCTGCGTATGCCATTTTGCAATGCGAAGAATAATGTGATGCCGGTTCTAAATCATTTACAGTTAGCGACTAGGGAGACTCGGGTAGGAGTAACGTAAGTAACCTAGATGCAGGGCCGGATCATCGCATAGACAAATGATACAAATGTCTAGGGCCCGGTTTTTAGAAGGGCCCGGTCAAACTGTCTATTTTGAAAAGATTTGTAAACAAGATAGATTACTCTTCTGTTGGACAACTGTATAATACTGGTAAAACTGGTAAAATATTATATTATTTAAATATTAACATTAACTCTCGTGATTAATTATTATTTGATACAAATAATTTATTTCAGGTGATTGGATTCATGAAGAAATTTGGAGGAAGACCTTTTGGTATATCCGTTGGCGGATTCTTTTACGTGAAGAAAAACTTTTTAATTCGGGTGAGTAGAAAGTATTTTTAAAATATTTGTAGATATATTAATACTACGTTTACAAGTATTTATACATATAATACTTATAAAGTAACCTGTCGAATTTTAATTGCTACGTCTTTAATAACGTTAATAATTTTGTAAATTTAACCAATTAATGATACTAACCAATTATTATTAATTGGGCTGCAATTTGAAAGACTTGTGGATCTATAAATTCTCACTGTCGTTCCTCTGACTCTTTCCGTAATTTTGATAATGAGTTAGATAGATGAAGACCAGAAGTGAAAACCTTAGGATTCATTCAGAAGGCTCCGATTAACTACATGAAAACTTTTAATGAAAACCGAAAGTCACGTTACTGTATTTCATTTCAAATCCTGTCCTCTGAAAGCAGTTAATGGATGACCAGCGCGACTGCATTGTTAAAGAAAAAGTGTGATGTACAGGGAGAAGCCACTACTAATTTGAGGTAGAAATCATATATTTTAAATTAAATAAATAAAATACTGTTTATGATTAAAAATTGAAACTCGACATTGTGATGATGTGACAATAAATAATTGCTCGTTAATAATGGTATTAGTACACGTATTATAATCAGATGTAAAACCATACACATTATATTTTTACACATTATTCGTATTGTTAATATTAATAATGAGGTGGCCGAGGTGGTGATAGCATTGGAGATGGAATCGGATTCGAATTTGGTCAGAAGGCTCCAGAAACAGATTCTCCTGAACATTGGGGCAGTTGGTGCACGAGCTTACCGTTTTATTTGTGTTGTCATTTCCCTACTCCCGAAGTGGGCCTGAACTTCCATTATCAACAAATATCAGAAAATTCATGACTGTTCATTTATTTTGGAAATACAGTATAAAAGACAATAATGAATGATTTTTTTAATTTTTACATTCAATTTCTTCCATTCTTCCATGCGTCGTATTTTGACCAAAACTTTGCCTTGAAAACGAAGAATGTTTCATGGTTTCAAGGCCAAGCTAACCCTGATTGCAACTAATGCAGCTTTGTGGCAGTGATGATCTGACTTTAAATCATAGTTTGAAGCTTCTTGCATGATTTATGATAACATTTTTTATTGTTTCTTTCTCTCTCTTTCTCTCTCTCTCTCTCTCTTATAGTCTACTTGAGCGGATGTTCAAAAATATCTGAATGGCGAACGGCCTGGTAAATATCGGGCTTTCTCCCATACCGTTTGACCGATCCTCTCGTGATCTTGGATTAGAATGGACAAAGGCTCAATAACTTCCGACAGAACATGAATAGAAAAACAATATTTCTAAAGAGTTTTTACTTGTAATCAATTATTAATAATTTCTTTCTACTGTATAATTCAACATTTTTATATCGTTATAGGTAATGAGTGGATTTTATTCAGTTTTCTCAACTCTAATTCAACTCACTGGAGTACTCGGACAAAAGAGTTGCACGTCAAGAATGAATGAAAACATCGTAATTACTAATACAACTGTTCATTAATTACCATTTGTTACTACACAAAAACAAATTTGAGACTGGTTTTGTGGCAAAAATTTGACAATTTCACTGATTAATTAGATATTGAATTACATTTGTTGCAAATGCACGAACAAAATTGTAATGTGTGGCCAGAAAGTTCTACTGATATTAAATATCGAAGACATTTAAACATACGCATTCATGTGTATAAAAGAGAAACAGATTAAAANAAAAAAAAACAGAAAGGTCGACAGGTTTATTTTACTTTATCTAATTCTTTTAATATGTTTTATAAATGAGAGGAGACAGCCATATTACATATTGACAGACAATAATCGTGTAGAGAATGAATATTGGCAAAATAAATGGATTATAAGACTGTTTCTCAGGAAATAGTTTTTCAAAACGCAAAAGAATTCCACGACTAATAGTTAGAGATTTAATAATCTTATCCACATGTCCTTTTTTTTTTTAACTCTTTCCGACCTGTGGGCACTAAGAGGGCCTGTTTTTGCAAGTCCATTATTGCTTCGGCCAGGCCCACAATGAGACTGCCAGGTGGTGAGGGACAGGGCCCGACATAACCGAACGGACTACCCTACGAAAAATTCCTGGCTATTCCTGGCTGCCACCTTAACCGCTCGGCCATCCGGCCGCTGTCCACATGTCCTTTAAAGGTAAGTTTAGGATACAAAATGACCCGATGCTATTACAAGAATTAACATATCTTATACGATTATTGCAAACTAGCAGGGGGCCCGGCGTTGCTCGGACAAAACTAACGATAGGGAAGATTAACATTATTACGTTATAGTCAACCTTACCCGTTTTCACGAAATGCAAGAATTGGGTCCCCCTGTTTCCGGACTGATTAGAGAATTTTTAGATGGGTCTAAAAATATGTTCGATTTCCCGCAAAAACAAAAAAACTGCATCTGCATCTTGCACGTCGCTTTCTCTTCACAATTCCATTGTTACGTAACACTTCCATTGTTGACACTTCCATTGTTACTTAACACTTCCATTATTGACGGAAGCGTTAAGACTTAATCCTGTTTCTCTCCCTCGTGGAGAGGAATTTCGAAAAATCCCTTCCTCTCATGGGGAGGAATTTCGAAAAAAAGGGATTTTTCGAAATTCCTCCCCACGAGTTGTGTGTTCTCGTAACGTACCCTAACTGTGTACGAAATTTCAACTTTCAACTCCTAATCGTTTGGGCTCTGCACTTATTATTATTATCATCATCATTATTATCATTATCAACTCGTCTCGATTATACAGTATATATAGATATAGAATGTGGGCAATTCATAATGATTACGGGTTTTTCTATATTAATTTTTAGATTAGCTAATATTTTTCTTTATTTGATCGAGTCTCTGTCAAACGGAAAAGACACCGTTAGGGAAGAAAAATGTATTTGATAAAACATCGTAACGATAATACAGTACGAAAGGAAAGAAATGACTGCTGATAATCTGTATACCCACCTACCGATATCCGAGTTAGGTAATTTATGGACAGTTTCTGCGCAATTTATATAAGGTTCTGATTTTATTGAGTCAGAACGTGATTTATTCGTGATCAGAGTTTAAAGCAACTACCAGTCCATACAAGACGATGTTTTAAAAACATGTATTACTTGGCAAAGCAAATAACCTGACGAAGCCACAATTTTGAAATTCGATCTATGAGCTGAAATATTCGAGGCCAACATTTGTCATGTAAAATCTATGAGCCGATTGTCGGTTGTTAGTTTAAAGTGATTACACGCACACTAAACGTGAGTGTTTGTGAACACAATCCGTTCCTAAATGTAAAGCCACTGTGAAATAATGGCTAAATAAAAAACACATTGATAACCGATTCCTATGCAGACACAAAGTGTTTTAGTGTTTCTACTAGATAAATATGTTTTCGTAATTAACGCGTAATCGCTCAGCCCTTGGTCCAATTCTTCACCCTATTTCCTGTAATTTGCCACATGAACTTGTTACCGTAGGGTCGGTGTCTCTTTGACACCACGTCAGGATGTGACACCACCAAGTCTCTCAGGACTCGGAAATCGCGACTTTACGTCACCCGAGCGGTAGCGTGTGAGCGGTTGGATTCGGAGTAGAAATGAGGAGAGAAACGAGGAAGTGACTCACTCGGATTCCATATTTTCTAACAAATAACAATTTTAATAAGAACCAAAGACAATACAGAGATATCGGGCATATTATCGGGCTTAATTATACTAAGCCGTTGAGAAAGAAAGTTTACAACCGAATCGCGGGTTGATAAATACCTTTCTTCTAGGTCGCTGATCTGTAGTACGATGACATTGTTGACGCCGAAGAAATGTTCGATAGAATGATTCCGGGTCTTGTCCGTTAATAGGAGCACTACGGTGTGACGACACTGAAATGGGGATGATATCTTTAAAAGGGCACGATCTTTGTCACGGATTCAATTCTGAATTCCTGGTCATGGTGTTAATCCTTGAGGACGACTTTTGTGGACGGACGTTGGAAGACGACTGACCTCGGGTGTTTTTTTTTGTTTTCTCTTGTTATTCCTCTTGGGTTTTTTTCATGAGGTCAGGTGGTTGTTGTTAATGGTCTGGCGTCCAATATGGGCACTCTATCGAAAGTTCCTGGTGACACATCGCTGACTAGCTGGATCCTCCTCAACAAGGAACCAACTCCGTAGGAAATTTTTATGGCTTTTAGCCTAACGCTCGAATTTAGATGATGGAATGCATCAATAATTAAAATTTAAAATAACACTTTATTGTGGGTCTGTTTGTCACTCACAAACTGTTATTTGTTTTCTTTCGTATTTGTTTGCAAAGAACATCACAAAACAACAGAAGTGACTTGATTATTGGTTCATTATGATAACGTGTAATAATAATTTTATCAAAAACAGTAATAAAATTAATTAATCAACTTTGAACAACGCTGTAAAAGATATAGGGTACTTGTCTCAAAATCAGAAAAGCATCTTTGCTTTAGCAATTAATATGTAAATAACACACAGGATAGTATATAATAAAGGATAATAGTAGCTTAGGAGTAAATTCTACAAAAAGCAATTCGGGAATACATCATAAAGATATAACCTTGGAAAGATTTCACTTTGAACAAGATCAAATAACTAAACTGTGCAAATTAACACTTTCAATTAGAGACATTTCTAGAAGACTGAAACTTGCTAGTCATGTTGTGGCAAATTACACCAATTCTAGTGGAAAATAAAAAACAAAATAGTCATGTAGAAGATCCATGCACTAAATTTTGGTCAAAAATCATAATTTTTAAGAAATTTAGCAATTCTATAATAAGTCTGAGGTTAAATTACATCTCATCTAGCCATAAAACAGTAAATTTCGTTAAATGGAAGTTATTTTTAATTTTCGAAATATGACATTTCCTGTTCTACCATCGAGTAAATAAAATGTATAAATCATTTAAGAAAGTATGCAATATGAAAACGGTAGCAATTAAGAATCGATAGAAACTTCACTTATTTTATCGCAATTTCTTGAGTGACATTATTAGATTGAATAATTCTATAAATTCAATATCATTTACGAAAACGAAATAAAAGATAATTTGTCGAACTTCAATTGCTACGACTTTAATAACGTTAATAATTCCACAAATATAACGTTCTGTTTCCAATATTTAAGAAATGAAAATTCCAAATGTCAAAATTCCAAACATATCTTCCATTTATATAATTTAACTACCGAAGTTATTATCAAAATTACAAACGTCTTTCATTTTATAAATTGAACAAATGAATTGGAGGAACAGTTTAGTCATAGTAAAGTAATCTTCTCTCGCTTTCTGATTGCCAGTTCTCTCTGCTAAGAAGTAGTTGCAAATCTTGAAAATTGCTGATGTAATTTGTTTTCTCGAATTACGTTTTCGATCAAGTCGAAATTTCTGTACTCCTTAACATACAAGAAATTATATCCGTAAAAACTAATAATCGTTACATACCATCAAAATACAATACTTTTGGGAAAATGTCTACAACAACGCAATCTCATTCTTATGATTTCTGTATTGCAGTAAAGGTTCGACCGGTATTATCTACAGGAGAAGTTTTTGGATTAGATTTGTTAAAACCGTGCAAATGTCAAAAGTTAAAAGAGACTAAAATTGCTGCATTTTTCAAAATTTACGAGCTCATAATAGAGTTCATCTTGTGGCATGTAGTATTATTGTTTATAATGATGATAACAACTTCAAACTTTCTTTGCTCGGAAGTATTTCTCGTTTTTGAAAACGAAGCATTTTATGCCAAAATTGTTTTTCTGGGCCTTGCAGTTTATGTCGCTCTTCAGTTCAGTATTTTGAAAAGAAGAAAAATATCTATCCATTATTTAAAGAGCCAATACGACGGCGAAGAAGATTTTGTCGACAGAAGCGAAAGATATATGTTCATTTTCTTTGCATTCTTTTCGTTTATTCTCATATGTATTTTTGCGATGTTTTCCTTTGTCAGTTATTTTTCCGTAGCCAGAGTTATAAACGATAATAAAGTAATATTATATTGCACGTTTATTATTCAGCTATGGTTAACTTATACTTCGTCACAGATATGCTTTGTATTACTATCATTCGCATTTGGTTCTATACTATTAGGAAAACGATTTGTGGAAGTCTCCAAAGAATTAGAAAATACAAACCGAGCAACTAAAGCGTTTTTACAAAATCTTATGGAGAAAATTTTGAAATTATGGGAATTTTTTCAAGAAGTAAACGAAAATTGGAGTATTCTTTTTCCTGTTATGTACATACATTTTGTTTACGAATCCTGCTTTTTCCTTTTTGGAAGTCTTTTCGCCAAAATAAATGTCATCTTACGTATTTCTGTATTTGTTACTGCATTGATATTATTAATTGGATCATTGTTAGTTTCTTGGGCACTGTCGAAATTTACATCGATTGTAAGTATTAATAACACCAATTTAATTCCACTTAAAATAGTGTTAAAATATAAATGTCATTTCAGGTATACGACAATTTCATTTCAATTGGGAAATTCTATTCAGAACCTCTTTCCTTGGAGTATAAATTCAAAGTATCGTATTATTTTTAATTTAACTCTCGTGATTAATTATTATTTGATACAAATAATTTATTTCAGGTGATTGGATTCATGAAGAAATTTGGAGGAAGACCTTTTGGTATATCCGTTGGCGGATTTTTTTACGTGAAGAAGAACTTTCCAATTCGGGTGAGTACAAACTATTATAAAAATATTTGTAGATGTATTATTACTACGTATATATTATACGTATATAAAATAATATATGTATTAATTATACATATATTATTTTATAAGTATTATACGTAAATATTTATACGTATAATACTTATAAAGTAACCTGCCGAATTTCAATTGCTACATCTTCAATAACGTTAATAATTTCATAAATAACCAATTAATAATAGTATATATTAATTGGTTATTTATGAAATTAGTACCGTATATACGTATTATTAATTTGAAATCTCTCCGTTTGTCCGTCCGGCTGTCTGTCTTTCCTTAAACTTGATAACGGTCTTAGATAAATGGAGATCAGATGTGGAGACCTTAGGATTTAGAAGGCTCCGATTAACCATATAAAAACTTTTAATGAAAGCCGGAAGTCACGTTATTTCAATTTAAATCTTTTCTTCTAAAAGCAGTTAATAGATGACCGGCGCGACTGTATTGTTAAAAGAAAAGTATGATGTACAGGGACAAGACTTTACTAATTTGAGGTGGAAAGCATATATTTTAAATTAAATAAATAAAAAATATAATAAAAAATTGCCGCCTGGCAATTTTGCTCGTTAATTGCTCGTTACTAATCGCATTAGTATACTTATTATAATTAAATATAAAAACATGAATTTCATGTTTTTATATTTAATTATACTGTTAATATTAATAATGAAGAGTGCCAAGACTGTTACGACATTTCAGTATATCTTTAGTAAACCTGGATTCGAATCCGGGCAGAAGACTCCAGAAACAGGTTTACTCGTACAGTACATTGAAGCACTTGCAGCGAGTGCATACCGTTTCATCTGTGTTGTCCTTTTTCTACTCCCGAAGTAGACGTCAACTTCCATTATCAATAAACATCAGAAAATTCTTGACTTTCCATATATTCCGGTATTATAAAAGAAAGTAATGAATGACATTTTTTAATTTTTCCATTCAACTTTGTCGTATTTTGACCAAAAGTTGGTCTTAAAAACGAAGAATGTTTTCTGATTTTAAGGCCATGTTATCCCCGATTTCAATCAATGAGCCTTTCTCACAGTGCCGATCCAACATCAAATCGTACCTTGTAGTTTTAAGCTTCTTGCATAATGTATGATGTCATTTTTTATTGTCTCTTTCTCTCGTATAGTCTACTTGTGCCGCTGTTCAAAAATATCTCATTGGCGGACTGCCTGAAAAATATCGGGCCTCCTCCCTTATCGTTTGGCCTCACCCCTCGGTGTTGATTCCATCGTGCGCTCGGATTGGAATAGATAAATGCCCAATAATTTCCCACTAGGCATGAAGAGAAAAACAATATTTCTAAAAAGTTTTTACTTACAATCAATTATTAATACTTTATTTCTCCTGTATAATTCAACATTTTTATTCCGTTCTAGGTAATGAGTGGATTGTATTCAGTTTTCTCAACTCTAATTCAGCTCACTGGAGTACTCCGACGAAAAAGTTGCACGTCAAGAATAAATGAAAACGTCGTAATTACTAATACAACTGTTCATTAATTACCATTTGTTACTACACAAAAACAAATTTGAGACTGGTTTTGTGGCAAAAATTTGACAATTTCACTGATTAATTAGATATTGAATTACATTTGTTGCAAATGCACGAACAAAATTGTAATGTGTGGCCAGAAAGTTCTACTGATATTAAATATCGAAGACATTTAAACATACGCATTCATGTGTATAAAAGAGAAACAGATTAAAAAAGTACATTATTTACTATTGAAAAATGGGCCCACCAGTGGCCAAGCGGTCTTCGTACCCCGAACACTGGGAGTTCGATCGTGGTCTCGGCCTCGCTCGGACGGGCTGGTCACGTGGAGTTTTCCGGGTTTTCTTCACGTCTGTAACGTCTAAATAGGGGCCAGTTTTCCTTAAAAAGACCTCCCGGAAGGCATCCCGCTAGGCATTTGGGCAGATCGCCCAAGTGTTGGGCTGACATAACTAAACAAACCAAACAAAACCATTCAAAAGTGTATAAACTGAATATCTGCTAAAATACTTTTTTTTTTTTGTTTTTATTGTGCAGATCGTAAAAATTGCAAAAATTGCACAAAAATCGTAAGATATTCTGTAAATACAATAGTTAATAATTTATGTGTTTAATTTTAGACCCTTTGATTAATTAATTAATGTTGTAGTTGAAACGTTATATTCAAATAGTGTAATGGAAATGAATATTCTACTCTCGCATGTATAAGTAGTGCTTATTGTGGAAAATGTTTCTGTCTGTATCATTATCTATTACTTTTAAAGTCATTTTCTGCATATGAGTAAATCGTTCGCAATTCAAGCTGAAAAATTCAATAAATTCTTAAAGAAAATGAATTAATTTTGAAATTTGATCGATGATATAAAAGCATAAATATTTCATTTTATAATATTAAATGCGTGTAAAGTCTGTTATTACAATCATAAAGTCGATATAAAATGTAATATTACTGAAGTGTTATTCCACGTTCAAATGAAATAATTTGATGTTTACTAACGCATAACGAATGAAAGCTTAAATAGATTTTATTGACACGATTTAACCAAATATTTAAGTAAAAGCTATTATTAATATTCAATTTTCACACTATTGTAAAGAAATTCTTTATTTATATTTATAATAATTATTTGATGTGTAGATTTTAGTGTATTAGATAATCCGCACTCCATTTTGATCATAGAGTATTTAAGTAAAAATTCCATTTTACTGTATAAACTATGAAAGTTTTTTAGAGTATTTTTGTTTATAAAATAATTTAGGTATTTTGGACAGAGTTTTCGCTTCAAATTTCGAATTAACCGAATTCCTTAATTAATATGTAAATCTTTATGTTCCCAGTTGAGACAAAAGCAGCATAAAATTACGAACTAACGACGATTTCCTTATAAAATTTTATAAAAAATCCTTATAAAATTAAACGACGATTTTGTTTATAAAATAATTTAGGTATGGCCTTTATTTATCAGTGAAAAGAAGCATTTAATACAAGTCACTTGCAATTAAAATTTACCATTAAATATTCTTTACGAATACATTAAAAATGGCTTAATATAATTTAATTTTAAATCGTTTATACGGTATTATTGCACAGAAAACATTTAATACTTTATTCTCAATTCTATATTATTTTTATTCACGAATTATAGTGAGCTGAAATTACCTGCAGCTTACTTAAAGACGTTTTGCGAATTATTTTCCTATTTGGAGATTGCCACTTTACATATAAGAGGCATGCCGAAATTTCAGTCTTTTTCTTCTCGGACAAAACACACAATATTGTTTTTATACTCAAAACATTACGAAAAAAGAAAAACTAAGATAAATTAGACAATTTCAATGAATAAAAATTAAATGCAACATTTGATTCTCTTTATATAAGACATCTTTTACTTTATGACGTTATACAATTTATTTTTTTAGTAAATAAAACTATTCCTTTGTACAGGAAATCGTCGTTAGTTCGTAATTTTATGCTGCTTTTGTCTCAACTGGGAACATAAAGATTTACATATTAATTAAGGAATTCGGTTAATTCGAAATTTGAAGCGAAAACTCTGTCCAAACTATCATTTTATATGCATATGCGTACGAACGAAAATAACATTCTATATAAATAGCTGTATTTGCTTAATAAATTACATCAGATACGTGGCATTTGGCATATTAAACGGAAAAATGTAAATCTCGGATGATTCGAAGTCGTGATTAAAGTCCATTGAATTTCGAACTAACGAGAATTTCCTGTATACCTCTTGATACAGTATGATAGAGCTGCCTTGTTTATCTTCATTGAATGCAATCCACATTTTTCACTCCGAATTATATTTATTGTTTTATACTGCTCACATTTATTAAATAAACAGTCTATATAATCGTCAAATGATATTGTATTTTTAACAACAATTCTTAACTCCTTCAGCTTTTTTTTTTTTTTTTCAAATTTACTTTCAAGTTTCAATATTTAAATAGATAATTATTATTTTATAAAAATATTACATTACTGAACAAAGACTTCCCGTCTAATTGCATGTCTTCCGCTATTTCATTCCATTTTATTGTTAAAATATTTCTATTTCTGTGAACAGGAAGATGTTTATTCCATATTTCAGAATGAGAATAAATAAAATTAAATTTTTTTACACCGAGTCCAGTATCTTGTTAGGCCGTCTTTTACTCGTGCCAGGGTGCAGCATTCAGTGAGACAAGGCGAGTCGCGAGGAATTTTTTTAGGGTAAAATGCCAAATAAGCGAGATGGTTTATACTGTATAACGGACAACACATCACTTTTTATTTAAATACTCTATGCTGAAATGGAGTGCGAATTATATGCTGTAATATACGATAACAATTCCATTTTTATTACATTAACAATAATCGAGCTACACTATAACCTACACATCAAAGAATTATTACAAATATAAATAAAGAATTTTTTACAATAGTGTGAAAATTGAATATTAATAATAGCTTTTACTTAGATATTTCGTTAAATCGTATCAATAAAATCTATTTAAGGTTTCGTTCGTTATGCGTTAGTAAACATCAATTTATTTCATTTGAACGTGGAATGAAACTTCAGTAATGTTACATTTTATATCGACTTTATGATTGTAATAACATAGACTTTACACGCATTTTATAGTACAAAATTATTATGAAATATTTATGCTTTTATGTCATGATGAAATTTCAAAATTAATTCATTTTTCAGCTTAAATTGCGAACGATTTTCTCATACACAAAAATGACTTTAAAAGTAATAAATAATGATACAGACAGAAACATTTTGCACAATGAGAACTATTTATACATGCGAGAGTAGAATATTCATTTCCATTACACTACTTGAATATAACGTTTCAACTACAACATAACTTCTCCGAAATTAATTAATTGATCAACAAAAAATTAATTAATTAATTAATAAAAACATCTAAAATCAAACACACAAATTATTAACTATTGTATTTACAGAATATCTTAGGATTTTCGTGCAATTTTTGCAATTTTTACGATCCGCACATTAAAAACAGAACAAAGTGATTTTGCAGATATTCAGTTTATACATTTTTCAATACAGTAGTTTTGTTTGGTTTAGTTTGTTTAGTTACGACAACGCAACACTTGGGCGATCTGCCCAAATGCCTAAGGGGGATGCCTTCCGGGAGGACTTTTTAAGAAAAACTGGCCCCTATTTAGGCGTTACAGACGTGAAGAAAACCCGGAAAAATTCCACGTGGCCAGCCCGTCCGAGCGAGGCCGAGACCACGACCGAACTCCCAGTGTTCGGGGTACAAAGACCGCTTGGCCACTGGTGGGCCCATTTTTGAATAGGAAATAATGTACTTTTTCAATCTGTTTCTCTTTTATACACATGAATGCGTATGTTTGAGTGTCTTCGATATTTAATATTAATATCATTAGAACTTTTTGGCGACAAATTACAATTTTCTTCGTGCATTTGCAACAAATGTAATTCAATATCTAATTAATCAGTGAAATTGTCAAGTTTTTGCCAAAAAAACCAATCTCAAATTTGCTTTTTGTGTAGTAACAAATGGTACTCAATTATGAATATTAAAAACGTATTTATATTTCTTTTTAATGAACAGTTGCATTACTAATTACGATGTTTTCATTTATTCTTGACGTGCAACTCTTTCGTCCAAGTACTCCAGTGAGTTGAATTAGAGTTGAGAAAACTGAATAAAATCCACTCATTACCTATAACGATATAAAAACGTTAAATTATTATATAGGAGAAAGGAGATATAAAATAATATATGTATAATATATGTGTACTATTAATACATCTACAAATATTTTAAAAATAATTTCTATTTACCCGAATTAGAANAGGAGAAAGGAGATATAAAATAATATATGTATAAATAATATATGTATAATATATGTGTACTATTAATACATCTACAAATATTTTAAAAATAATTTCTATTTACCCGAATTAGAAAGTTCTTCTTCACGCAAAAGAATCCGCCAATGGATATACCAAAAGGTCTTCCTCCAAATTTCTTCATGAATCCAATCATCTGAAATAAATTATTTGTATTAAAATAATAATTAATCACAAGAGTTAAATTAAAGATAATACGATACTTTGAATTTATACTCCAAAGAAAGAGGCTCCGAATAGAATTTCCCAATTGAAATGAAATTATCGTATACCTGAAATGATATTAATATTTTAACTTTATTATAATTAAGTAGAATTAAATTGGTGTTATTAATACTTACAATCGATGTAAGTGTCGACAGTGCCCAAGAAACTAACAATGATCCAAGTAAAAATATCAACGCCATAATAGATACAGAAATACNTTTACGAGCTCATAATAGAGTTCATCTTGTGGCATGTAGTATTATTGTTTATAATGATGATAACAACTTCAAACTTTCTTTGCTCGGAAGTATTTCTCGTTTATGAAAACGAAGCATTTTATGCCAAAATTGTTTTTCTGGGCCTTGCAGTTTATGTCGCTCTTCAGTTCAGTATTTTGAAAAGAAGAAAAATATCTATCCATTATTTAAAGAGCCAATACGACGGCGAAGAAGATTTTGTCGACAGAAGCGAAAGATATATGTTCATTTTCTTTGCATTCTTTTCGTTTATTCTCATATGTATTTTTGCGATGTTTTCCTTTGTCAGTTATTTTTCCGTAGCCAGAGTTATAAACGATAATAAAGTAATATTATATTGCACGTTTATTATTCAGCTATGGTTAACTTATACTTCGTCACAGATATCCTTTGTATTACTATCATTCGCATTTGGTTCTATACTATTAGGAAAACGATTTGTGGAAGTCTCCAAAGAATTAGAAAATACAAACCGAGCAACTAAAGCGTTTTTACAAAATCTTATGGAGAAAATTTTGAAATTATGGGAATTTTTTCAAGAAGTAAACGAAAATTGGAGTATTCTTTTTCCTGTTATATACATACATTTTGTTTACGAATCCTGCTTTTTCCTTTTTGGAAGTCTTTTCGCCAAAATAAATGTCATCTTACGTATTTCTGTATTTGTTACTGCATTGATATTATTAATTGGATCATTGTTAGTTTCTTGGGCACTGTCGAAATTTACATCGATTGTAAGTATTAATAACACCAATTTAATTCCACTTAAAATAGTGTTAAAATATAAATGTCATTTCAGGTATACGACAATTTCATTTCAATTGGGAAATTCTATTCAGAACCTCTTTCCTTGGAGTATAAATTCAAAGTATCGTATTATTTTTAATTTAACTCTCGTGATTAATTATTATTTGATACAAATAATTTATTTCAGGTGATTGGATTCATGAAGAAATTTGGAGGAAGACCTTTTGGTATATCCGTTGGCGGATTTTTTTACGTGAAGAAGAACTTTCCAATTCGGGTGAGTAAAAACTATTATAAAAATATTTGTAGATGTATTATTACTACGTATATATTATACGTATATAAAATAATATATGTATTAATTATACATATATTATTTTATAAGTATTATACGTAAATATTTATACATATAATACTTATAAAGTAACCTGTCGAATTTTAATTGCTACGTCTTTAATAACGTTAATAATTTTGTAAATTTAACCAATTAATGATACTAACCAATTATTATTAATTGGGCTGCAATTTGAAAGACTTGTGGATCTATAAATTCTCACTGTCGTTCCTCTGACTCTTTCCGTAATTTTGATAATGAGTTAGATAGATGAAGACCAGAAGTGAAAACCTTAGGATTCATTCAGAAGGCTCCGATTAACTACATGAAAACTTTTAATGAAAACCGAAAGTCACGTTACTGTATTTCATTTCAAATCCTGTCCTCTGAAAGCAGTTAATGGATGACCAGCGCGACTGCATTGTTAAAGAAAAAGTGTGATGTACAGGGGCAAAGCCACTACTAATTTGAGGTGGAGAGGATATATTTTAAATTAAAAATTGCAGCCCAGCTTTATGATAAAGTTACAACAAATAATTGCTTGTTTAGCATTATGAATGTTATTCTTGTTCAAACTTTCATATTTTAATCCATAATCAATATTACTTTTCATCACATGTGATAATCATAATTTTAATTAATGTCTGTGAGTAATTTAAAATATTTTTATCTCCTTAAATACCAATTTAGACATGGAAGTTTAAAATTTTAATAGAAGATTATTGAAAGACAGCACACTTTAACCATTATTGTAATGACATTAGTTCATGGTCTTTTATTTAACTTCTAAATTTGGATTTTTTAAAATAAATGCTAAAATTTATAAAAATAGTTTTCATATATTCTCCTGTCTGCAGATGACAAACAGGTTACATAACTAATTTAGTTGAGATCAACATAAAATTCCCAAAATGTTTTCATAGACTGGAAACATTCAAAAGATTCTAATATCACTTCACAAACACAATAAGCAGACAAATATTTTTTGATTATTGATGCTTAAAATGATTTTTTTCATTGATCTAGATCCAGCAGTCAGCAACCTTTCTCACCTCAAGGACCTCTAAAGTCACAATTTTGAATCCTGCAAACCAATATCATGAATTTTTTTAAACAATACAAAATCTGTAGAATAATAATCATAAAAGTTCAATTTTACTATATTAATATGAAACTAACATGTTTAGGCTTGCATTAATTTGTTATAATTAAAGTTCATTGCTGCTTGTTTGAAACAAGTTTATGGATTCTTCGTGCCTTTCCACGAAGGACGACAATCACACAATATTGTTTATTGTTCATTATTTATTGATAACAGTCACTTTGTTTTTGGTTTTAGATTCGAATAAAAAACCCCAATGAGTGAAAAAAGCAACTAAGCATTTTGCATTTCTTTCATAATACTTCGCGTAACCTTCAGTTGATCAATGTTCAAATTTCTCTAAGGACCACCCAAATTTTCTCACGGACCACTGGTTGCCGACCGTTGATCTAGACATCTTTAGGAACACAGGTGTGAATAAAATAACTTTTACCAGTAATAAAATAAAATGCACAAACTTATGCTATAGGGGTCAGATATAAATTGTTGATACACATTTTAATCTTTCTTTCTTCTTCAGATCATTGTTTTCTAATTAGAACATTGAAAAGAACTATGAAAATTTACACTGAAGTGCATTCTACTGCTTTAAACTGTTATGTCACATTTTCTGTAACTAGGGTGATTAGATAAACTCTTTTAGGAATCCATAAACTGTATACTCTTTTTTTTTCCTCACCAAAATCTCAAATTATACACTTTTCATTTAAAAATTATTAGTACTTGACTGCTTGCTGTTCTTTCAATTAGTTGTATATCCTTCAAAGCATAGCATGAAGTTGCTATTGAGAACAAATCATACAGCAACACTCCTTTTGATGGAAAAATTAGATTTATTTTCTATCAGACAGTTTTATGCAATTTTAAACCTAGGCCTAGAAGTTGAAGAAGAAAGAATACATACCTCTAGGCAACAAAATGCAGATTTTGTATGAGTATTAGTCTCAATTTTTTCTTTGTGTTACACAAATTTGCATTATATGGCAGTTCCCTGTATTTATCTACTTTAAAGGCTTCCAGGGTAACAGTTATCAAGATTTCCTACTACAATTTTAATGTTGTGGCAGTGCTATCAGATCATATAAGTCTACATTTCATAATTATTTTAAATCCCATATCCCTGGATCTAATGATCTTTTATTTCATTTTTTTAAAATAAAAAAAAAATTTAAGTAAGAATTTGATTAGAAAGAATAGAAATAATGATCAAGAAGAAAAGATACTTTGAAAACATTTATAAGGATCATATAAGGATTTATAAGGATCACATTTTAATCCACAGAATATAATTTAAAAACCATTTTTAAATATATGTAATTGGAAATAACTTAATTATAAGTAATGATATACAAATTTCTGTTAAAAGAATATATATTTTAAACTATAGATATTTAAAGATATTATTTCATTAAACAAAGAAATATTACAGATAAATTTATAATACACCTTGTAACAAAAAAATTAATAGTCTAGAAAAATAGTCTAAAAATCAATAATACTCAGTATGCACATATCTACTGGTTAGATGGCAGCAGTGAAAGCACAGAACAGTCTGAGAGTGCCAACACACTTTGGAATGCTCTGTACCTTCAGAGAAGCAGATTCTGGGGCATATAATAAGGAGCGTTGTTTGCTTGCATTTATAAATCTATCAATTATTATTGCAATTGTGTTAAATTCATTATCCAATGAGAATATCTGGACAATACAGTTTAAAACTGTATTGTCCAGAGCGAGTTTAAAAGTGGCCAGAGAACAAAATGAAAATGTAGATTTAGCAACCATCATCTGGATTACAATTATATGATTATATTGGTTGCAGTGGGTTTAGGAGACAGACTTATCTGCCACAAAGGTCTAGAGGTTCAGGACAACAACTGTTAAAAGAATCACACTGTAGTGGATATAACTTGAAGTCTTCAATAATACCTAGTTTTTCTGACCACATCCAGAGATATGTAGGATCTTCCATGCAGCAATGCAGTACTATCATACACTATTAGAAGGCAACTTCATTTTCAGCACTTTTTAAGACATCTCCTTTAACTATCCTGCCTTAGCAGCACTGTCTGGAATATAAATGAATCTGGATATCTACCAATGTCCAAATGATGCCATATGATGNCAGAAGACTCCGGAAACAGGTTTACTCGTACAGTACATTGAAGCACTTGCAGCGAGTGCATACCGTTTCATCTGTGTTGTCCTTTTTCTACTCCCGAAGTAGACGTCAACTTCCATTATCAATAAACATCAGAAAATTCTTGACTTTCCATATATTCCGGTATTATAAAAGAAAGTAATGAATGACATTTTTTAATTTTTCCATTCAACTTTGTCGTATTTTGACCAAAAGTTGGTCTTAAAAACGAAGAATGTTTTCTGATTTTAAGGCCATGTTATCCCCGATTTCAATCAATGAGCCTTTCTCACAGTGCCGATCCAACATCAAATCGTACCTTGTAGTTTTAAGCTTCTTGCATAATGTATGATGTCATTTTTTATTGTCTCTTTCTCTCGTATAGTCTACTTGTGCCGCTGTTCAAAAATATCTCATTGGCGGACTGCCTGAAAAATATCGGGCCTCCTCCCTTATCGTTTGGCCTCACCCCTCGGTGTTGATTCCATCGTGCGCTCGGATTGGAATAGATAAATGCCCAATAATTTCCCACTAGGCATGAAGAGAAAAACAATATTTCTAAAAAGTTTTTACTTACAATCAATTATTAATACTTTATTTCTCCTGTATAATTCAACATTTTTATTCCGTTCTAGGTAATGAGTGGATTGTATTCAGTTTTCTCAACTCTAATTCAGCTCACTGGAGTACTCCGACGAAAAAGTTGCACGTCAAGAATAAATGAAAACGTCGTAATTACTAATACAACTGTTCATTAATTACCATTTGTTACTACACAAAAACAAATTTGAGACTGGTTTTGTGGCAAAAATTTGACAATTTCACTGATTAATTAGATATTGAATTACATTTGTTGCAAATGCACGAACAAAATTGTAATGTGTGGCCAGAAAGTTCTACTGATATTAAATATCGAAGACATTTAAACATACGCATTCATGTGTATAAAAGAGAAACAGATTAAAAAAGTACATTATTTACTATTGAAAAATGGGCCCACCAGTGGCCAAGCGGTCTTCGTACCCCGAACACTGGGAGTTCGATCGTGGTCTCGGCCTCGCTCGGACGGGCTGGTCACGTGGAGTTTTCCGGGTTTTCTTCACGTCTGTAACGTCTAAATAGGGGCCAGTTTTCCTTAAAAAGACCTCCCGGAAGGCATCCCGCTAGGCATTTGGGCAGATCGCCCAAGTGTTGGGCTGACATAACTAAACAAACCAAACAAAACCATTCAAAAGTGTATAAACTGAATATCTGCTAAAATACTTTTTTTTTTTTGTTTTTATTGTGCAGATCGTAAAAATTGCAAAAATTGCACAAAAATCGTAAGATATTCTGTAAATACAATAGTTAATAATTTATGTGTTTAATTTTAGACCCTTTGATTAATTAATTAATGTTGTAGTTGAAACGTTATATTCAAATAGTGTAATGGAAATGAATATTCTACTCTCGCATGTATAAGTAGTGCTTATTGTGGAAAATGTTTCTGTCTGTATCATTATCTATTACTTTTAAAGTCATTTTCTGCATATGAGTAAATCGTTCGCAATTCAAGCTGAAAAATTCAATAAATTCTTAAAGAAAATGAATTAATTTTGAAATTTGATCGATGATATAAAAGCATAAATATTTCATTTTATAATATTAAATGCGTGTAAAGTCTGTTATTACAATCATAAAGTCGATATAAAATGTAATATTACTGAAGTGTTATTCCACGTTCAAATGAAATAATTTGATGTTTACTAACGCATAACGAATGAAAGCTTAAATAGATTTTATTGACACGATTTAACCAAATATTTAAGTAAAAGCTATTATTAATATTCAATTTTCACACTATTGTAAAGAAATTCTTTATTTATATTTATAATAATTATTTGATGTGTAGATTTTAGTGTATTAGATAATCCGCACTCCATTTTGATCATAGAGTATTTAAGTAAAAATTCCATTATACTGTATAAACTATGAAAGTTTTTTAGAGTATTTTTGTTTATAAAGTAATTTAGGTATAATGGCCTTTATTTATCAGTGAAAAGAAGCATTTAATACAAGTCACTTGCAATTAAAATTTACCATTAAATATTCTTTACGAATACATTAAAAATGGCTTAATATAATTTAATTTTAAATCGTTTATACGGTATTATTGCACAGAAAACATTTAATACTTTATTCTCAATTCTATATTATTTTTATTCACGAATTATAGTGAGCTGAAATTACCTGCAGCTTACTTAAAGACGTTTTGCGAATTATTTTCCTATTTGGAGATTGCCACTTTACATATAAGAGGCATGCCGAAATTTCAGTCTTTTTCTTCTCGGACAAAACACACAATATTGTTTTTATACTCAAAACATTACGAAAAAAGAAAAACTAAGATAAATTAGACAATTTCAATGAATAAAAATTAAATGCAACATTTGATTCTCTTTATATAAGACATCTTTTACTTTATGACGTTATACAATTTATTTTTTTAGTAAATAAAACTATTCCTTTGTACAGGAAATCGTCGTTAGTTCGTAATTTTATGCTGCTTTTGTCTCAACTGGGAACATAAAGATTTACATATTAATTAAGGAATTCGGTTAATTCGAAATTTGAAGCGAAAACTCTGTCCAAACTATCATTTTATATGCATATGCGTACGAACGAAAATAACATTCTATATAAATAGCTGTATTTGCTTAATAAATTACAGCAGATACGTGGCATTTGGCATATTAAACGGAAAAATGTAAATCTCGGATGATTCGAAGTCGTGATTAAAGTCCATTGAATTTCGAACTAACGAGAATTTCCTGTATACCTCTTGATACAGTATGATAGAGCTGCCTTGTTTATCTTCATTGAATGCAATCCACATTTTTCACTCCGAATTATATTTATTGTTTTATACTGCTCACATTTATTAAATAAACAGTCTATATAATCGTCAAATGATATTGTATTTTTAACAACAATTCTTAACTCCTTCAGCTTTTTTTTTTTTTTTTCAAATTTACTTTCAAGTTTCAATATTTAAATAGATAATTATTATTTTATAAAAATATTACATTACTGAACAAAGACTTCCCGTCTAATTGCATGTCTTCCGCTATTTCATTCCATTTTATTGTTAAAATATTTCTATTTCTGTGAACAGGAAGATGTTTATTCCATATTTCAGAATGAGAATAAATAAAATTAAATTTTTTTACACCGAGTCCAGTATCTTGTTAGGCCGTCTTTTACTCGTGCCAGGGTGCAGCATTCAGTGAGACAAGGCGAGCCGCGAGGAATTTTTTTAGGGTAAAATGCCAAATAAGCGAGATGGTTTATACTGTATAACGGACAACACATCACTTTTTATTTAAATACTCTATGCTGAAATGGAGTGCGAATTATATGCTGTAATATACGATAACAATTCCATTTTTATTACATTAACAATAATCGAGCTACACTATAACCTACACATCAAAGAATTATTACAAATATAAATAAAGAATTTTTTACAATAGTGTGAAAATTGAATATTAATAATAGCTTTTACTTAGATATTTCGTTAAATCGTATCAATAAAATCTATTTAAGGTTTCGTTCGTTATGCGTTAGTAAACATCAATTTATTTCATTTGAACGTGGAATGAAACTTCAGTAATGTTACATTTTATATCGACTTTATGATTGTAATAACATAGACTTTACACGCATTTTATAGTACAAAATTATTATGAAATATTTATGCTTTTATGTCATGATGAAATTTCAAAATTAATTCATTTTTCAGCTTAAATTGCGAACGATTTTCTCATACACAAAAATGACTTTAAAAGTAATAAATAATGATACAGACAGAAACATTTTGCACAATGAGAACTATTTATACATGCGAGAGTAGAATATTCATTTCCATTACACTACTTGAATATAACGTTTCAACTACAACATAACTTCTCCGAAATTAATTAATTGATCAACAAAAAATTAATTAATTAATTAATAAAAACATCTAAAATCAAACACACAAATTATTAACTATTGTATTTACAGAATATCTTAAGATTTTCGTGCAATTTTTGCAATTTTTACGATCCGCACATTAAAAACAGAACAAAGTGATTTTGCAGATATTCAGTTTATACATTTTTCAATACAGTAGTTTTGTTTGGTTTAGTTTGTTTAGTTACGACAACGCAACACTTGGGCGATCTGCCCAAATGCCTAAGGGGGATGCCTTCCGGGAGGACTTTTTAAGAAAAACTGGCCCCTATTTAGGCGTTACAGACGTGAAGAAAACCCGGAAAAATTCCACGTGGCCAGCCCGTCCGAGCGAGGCCGAGACCACGACCGAACTCCCAGTGTTCGGGGTACAAAGACCGCTTGGCCACTGGTGGGCCCATTTTTGAATAGGAAATAATGTACTTTTTCAATCTGTTTCTCTTTTATACACATGAATGCGTATGTTTGAGTGTCTTCGATATTTAATATTAATATCATTAGAACTTTTTGGCGACAAACTACAATTTTCTTCGTGCATTTGCAACAAATGTAATTCAATATCTAATTAATCAGTGAAATTGTCAAGTTTTTGCCAAAAAAACCAATCTCAAATTTGCTTTTTGTGTAGTAACAAATGGTACTCAATTATGAATATTAAAAACGTATTTATATTTCTTTTTAATGAACAGTTGCATTACTAATTACGATGTTTTCATTTATTCTTGACGTGCAACTCTTTCGTCCAAGTACTCCAGTGAGTTGAATTAGAGTTGAGAAAACTGAATAAAATCCACTCATTACCTATAACGATATAAAAACGTTAAATTATTATATAGGAGAAAGGAGATATAAAATAATATATGTATAATATATGTGTACTATTAATACATCTACAAATATTTTAAAAATAATTTCTATTTACCCGAATTAGAAAGTTCTTCTTCACGCAAAAGAATCCGCCAATGGATATACCAAAAGGTCTTCCTCCAAATTTCTTCATGAATCCAATCATCTGAAATAAATTATTTGTATTAAAATAATAATTAATCACAAGAGTTAAATTAAAGATAATACGATACTTTGAATTTATACTCCAAAGAAAGAGGCTCCGAATAGAATTTCCCAATTGAAATGAAATTATCGTATACCTGAAATGATATTAATATTTTAACTTTATTATAATTAAGTAGAATTAAATTGGTGTTATTAATACTTACAATCGATGTAAGTGTCGACAGTGCCCAAGAAACTAACAATGATCCAAGTAAAAATATCAACGCCATAATAGATACAGAAATACGTAAGATGACATTTATTTTGGCGAAAAGACTTCCAAAAAGGAAAAAGCAGGATTCGTATACAAAATGTATATATATAACAGGAAAAAGAATACTCCAATTTTCGTTTATTTCTTGAATAATTTCCCATAATTCCAAAACCTTCTCCATAAGATTTTGTACAAACACTTTAGTTGCTCGGTTTGCATTTTCTAATTCTTTGGAGACTTCCACAAATCGTTTTGCTAATAGTATAGAACCGAATGAGAATGATAGAAATACAAAGCATATTTGTGACGAAGTACAAGTTAACCATAGCTGAATGGCTATTGTGCAGCCTAACATTATTTTATCATCGTGTATAGCTTCGGCTACGGAAAAGTAACTGACAAACGAAAAGACTACAAAAAGAGATATGAGAATAAACGAAAAGAATGCATAAAAAATGAACACATATTTTTCGCTTCTGTCGACAAAATCTTTTTCGCCGTGGTATTGGCTCTTCAAATAATGGGTAGATACTTTTCTTCTTTTTAAAATACTGAACTGACAAGCTACATAAATAGCAATGCCCAGAAAAACAATTTTCGCATGAAATGCTTCGTTTTCAAAAACGAGAAATACTTCCGAGCAAAGAAAGTTT